CCAAGTTGCTGCAAAAGACATGTGCTTCTCTTTTTTGGTTGCTGAGTAATATTCTATTGTATATATGTACCACATCTTTTTTATCCAGTCATCTACTTTTGGGCATTTGGGCTGTGGAAGCTCCATTTTCAGCAATTTGAGAAACCTCCAAACAGTTTTCCATAGTGTACACCTACTAAGTTTTATTGTCGTATTCCTCCAATAATGAGGACACAAGCTTCACTAAACTAATCCAGGGAAAGCAGTTGACTATCAATTGGCTCTATCAGGTAACAAATGGATTCCATTAAATGGGTCTCAAATGATAGTTAATTGCAAGACTTGATGAACATTATCAGGACACTAGATATTTAACAGTAAATTTTACTGGTACAGATAATTACTATAGATTAATTAGAAAATGTTGGGGTAAGTTTTCTTATGGGAAAGTGCTAAAGAAAAATACCTAATTGAATGTTTCCTTGTGTTTAAAGAGCTTTCTTTGTTGTAGAACAGACAATAATGAAGACATATTTCATTGCTAACTAGATAGATCATACTTTTTGTTTGTTTCTGCACCATACTGAAAGTTTTCTTCCCTTTTTAGGTGTCCACGTTCTGCAGATGATGAGCGAAAGCACCCTGTCCTCTGTCTTTTCTGTGGCACCATACTGTGTTCTCAGAACATTTGCTGCCAAGAAGTTGTGAATGGGGAAGAGGTTGGAGCATGTATTTTTCATGCACTTCACTGTGGAGCTGGAGTCTGCATTTTCCTAAAGTATGTCATGAGTGACCTGGGAGTTTTCTAGTGAACTTAAGGACTTTTTTTTAAATGTGGAGACCATTTTGGCAGAATACTATGTTGATAGGAAGTAGTCTATCAGAAATTAGAGTACGAGGGACATATTATTCACATGAGACAGTATTTGAGAAGATACTGCATAATAACTAGTTAAATAAAAAGGATAGGATTATGTTAATTTCATTGTGGAAAATCTTAAATATGATATACTTTATATTGATTACTGTTGCTGTGTAATACTATTATAATAAAAGAGCTTGGAATCTTACAATTTGTATTTAAAAAGTACATGTAAATTTTTACTTGTCACTTAAAAGTTTCTATATTCTTCATTTTCTCTATTAAGTAACCATTGTTTCCCCTCATCTCTTAGCAAAAGACTGAGAGTAGATTAATAGTCACTTAATAATTATGAAAGATTACAAGTTGTGTGAGAAAGAGAAAAATTCAAAGTAAGGCCTCCCTGGTGACCTAGGAGTTATGACTCAGTGCTATCACTGCTATGGCTTATGTTCTATTCCCAGCCAGAGAGGTGACCCACATGTATTGCAGCAGACCTCTGCTGCCTCACCCGCTGCTCCCCTCATCAATGTATTTCAGTCAGTCTGCCTATTCTGCTTCCCACTGTCTCTGGTGAATCCTCTCATCCCACACACCTCTGGCCTGTACCCTAGTTCTGTATGGGTAAATAAATCAATCTTTGAAAAAGAAAAAGGAAACTTTGGTGCTGTGCCTATCATTGACACACATGAACTTAATAGTTCTTATTGGTTGTTTTATCTTCAGAATCAGAGAATGCAGAGTTGTCCTGGTTGAAGGGAAAGCCAGAGGCTGTGCCTATCCTGCTCCTTACTTGGATGAATATGGAGAAACAGACCCTGGGCTGAAGTAAGATTTTTGTCATCGTTGTTTTGCTAATTATTGTATAGAGAGTTAACAGTTCTTTAAACACATTATCTAATGCTGAACGTTGAGAGGTATTTTTAAGTAACTATAAATCTAAAATACAAAATACTATCTTAAATGTATTATACATACTTTCCAATAAATTTGTACCTCTCCAAAATTTGAAGGTAATAATTTTCCAAAAGTTTCTAAAGACACTAGCTATCCTAATGTTTGAAGACTCTATTATGTTTAAATCAAAGTATCTTCATAGTTACTCGGTTTAATTGTCACTGATAAATAAAAGAAAGAAATCTGTAGAATCTAATGAGGGAGTTTGTTTAAAATAGATAATTTACTGTTTTTATTATAACACTTGATACTTTTTAATCAGCCTGATTTCCAAACATAAGCAAAATATTCAGAATCCTCAACTTTCTGTATCCTGCCCTGGTCTTAGGAATGGAGTACTACTCATGGCTTATGAGGGTGAGGGGTTATTGTCCCCAAAGTATATGTGAAGATTAGATCCCCTCATAGTAAATAAGGTGTCTTTCTTAGTTTAACTGAAATTTTGTTCTTTTAAAATATTACTTAAAATTGATAGATTTGTTTTATTGTGACAGCATTTAACCAATATACATAGCTTTTGTACTTAGTGAGAAAAAGTACTTCATGTTGAAAGTAGTTAATGATTGATGGTAAAGGACCCAATTTGTTCCACACAATTTCAAAGAAACAGAATTTTTAAATTAGACAATTTTAAAATACCCAGTGAGCTATGACATTTAAATGCTTCAGGAATAAGAATCTCACTATTCTCCATTATTGATAATAGCCAAACTTTAGTCATTTTGGATTCATATTATAGTGTTACAAATTCTGCATACCTGGAATTCAGGTGAAGCAATTTTATTTAAATATTTGCTAATCACCAACAATTCTGTTGTCATGGGATAACTGTGACCAAATATTTTTGAGTAGCAGGATATAATTTGGGGAATTGGTACTATACCTCTCACCTAATCTCAGCTATTCAAAGACAAGACATCAAAACTGCATAAACAGAAGGCTCAGATAGAGACTGAGGTCCTATAACACCCATGGCACACATGACCTGTTTTCCGAATAAATGTCAACCTCATTGACTAAGTAACTGTCAAGTTCATAGTCATCAGTGTTGAGAGCATAATATCCCTTCCGTTCATTTGTTTTTTTCATGATCAGTGAATTTTTTATTTAAACTAGCTCCTGCCAAAAAGAGAGAGATGAAAGATCTGAAAGATCAGCATACTGATCAGACATAGTGGTATACCAGGATACTTGTAAAGAAAGTGAGTGTAAAGTCATATATAGTTTTCTGGTCTATTTGCAGAGTAGTGATCCAGACCAGTCCCCAGTGCCTGGGTCCAGATTTTCCTCATCTTCTTAGCTGGTTGTAGGACCTAATCTACTAGCTGGTTGTTAGTAGATTTATGCAAGTCAGGGGAAAAAGTATGGTTTGGACTTGATGCAAAGGTTTGGACTTGATGCAAAGATGGGGAGATGGGGCAAATTTGGTCAGCTCTCTTGTGCTGTCCATGCTATTACTTCAGGAAGAGAGTGTATGTTCACTTCCACTCATAGAGTGCCATGTAGGGAAGGCTCTTCCACGTGCAAGCTGAGGCCTCCTTAAAATTGTGCAGCTTGACATGAGAGCCACCAATGCTGTGCTGGCACCGACCTAGCAGCCTAGAAACCTAGTGCTAAGTCACTATTTTTTACCTAGTCACCCCAGAATGCCGTTTTATTACCTTATCCTGGTGGTTACTTCCAGTTTCAAGATTCTAATCTCTAGACTTCAGACTAATTAAAGCAATAAAAATGTGTCAACTGCTTGATTCAAACTTGCTTCTTGTGTTATTGTTTTTTTCCTTATAGGAGGGGCAACCCCCTTCATCTATCTCACGAGCGGTATCGCAAGCTCCATTTGGTATGGCAACAACACTGCATTATAGAAGAGATTGCTAGGAGCCAGGAAACTAATCAAATGTTATTTGGATTCAACTGGCAGTTACTATGAGCTCCAACTCTGCCTTGGCACAATAACGAATGACAACAGTAACGGAGACCAATTCAAAATTACGAACACCTTTCTGAAGGCTGGGGAAGGGTTGGAGGGTCTCTTGCTCCATGTCCAGATTCACATACATCAATAAAATATTCCTTAATGGAGTATTGCTTTCAGTTAGCGAACATATGCTTTGAGGGAAAAAAATAAGGACATAGATGAATCTGTTTTATGTTTCAGAACACTAAAGAGATGTTTATTTATCCCAAATATCTGAATCTGCCGATATTTCCAGACTACTCATTTCCTTTCATAATCTGTCCCATTTCATTTCATTTTACCCACCTAGTAAATGAAATCACATTGAGCAGTTGTGGGCACTTTTATGTTTTGGTTAGCTCTTCAGTAATTATGAATTTGTTGTTATTCAAGTTTAGTTTAGCTAATATTGGATCACTGATGAGATTCTAGTAATTCTAGTAATCTGTGATAATAGATTTTTCCTTGCAGCTAAAGAGGAACTGAAAAAAAAAAAGTGCGCTTTAAGAAAAATTTCTCTACAAGTACATTTTGTTATTTCTCTTAAGAAATAACGCTAATGTGTCACTTGTTGCTTCAGCCAGAAATCCAACTAAGTATATGGACAGAGTTGATATTTTTACCAGTGTGCAAGAGCTTTTTTCCCCACTGTAGAACCCAAAAGGAGTTCACATAACGTATTCGTTATTCATTGCTGTTGGGACAAAGAGCCTGTAATTCTCACCTCTAACCACAAATGTTGTGTTTTGAAATTACACATTTTCCAAAGACAAGTTTCTAAAATGAGATCACTTGTCTCTTAATTGTGACACTATCCTATTTGACTCAGAACCTGATGCAGTTCTGATATAAACTATCTGTGGAATGAGGACAAGAAAATTCCTCCAATGATGGAGCATGACAAATGTAAATTATACAAATCCAATTTAAGCCACTTCCATAACCTATGTCTTTGTAAAAGACAAATTCTTCATTTGTTATCTGTGTATAACCTCTTCATAAACTCTGGTTTTCTGTCTAATACAGACAACCAAAAAAGCCATGTGATCAGTAGTCTGTGTCCTGTTACAATATGCTGTGGTTGAGCCATCTTGTTCATAAATAATAGAGCTCTCCCGGATCAGTGCATAGACTTCTTGGTTTTTGGCTTTAACTTTTTATATCAGGAATTGTGATAAAAACATCAGACAGAAGATAAATTGAAATCTTCCATCCTAGTTTCTGTTGTCTCTGGAGTAATGTGAGGAATTTGAGAAATGCATTCAAAGATTATCTTACGCGTTTGGTGACTACTGTCTCATATAAAAAGTGTGAATGTTTTCCTACTTTTTTGCTCATCAAAGACAAAGAAGTAAAAATATACTTGCAGAGTAATCAGTGATGCACATTTGGGGTTATATTTTTTGTATTTTTCTGTAAAATAAAGAAAAGGCAGATTTTGCAGTAAGGGCGTGGCATGAATAGGCTTCAGAATCACAATCATGAATTTCTACTTGAATAATTATTATTCAGGAGGTATCAGGAAATAGATACAACTCCAGTGAACATTTGTAACAATTGATGAAGATCTGAAAAGTCAGTTCAGTTTGTCTTGATTTGCTAGTATGATTAAATGATTTGAACATTTTTCTTTGTTTCTTAGATAATTTTGTTGGATAGATTGTCTGACAGGGAAGTCAGAGCCATAGGCAACAGAAGATGCTGACTTCTGCCCTAATTGGTTGGCTCTAGTTTAGCAAAGATGAACTAACTTTATTTCTAGTCTTTTTATATTCACTTCATAAACCCTGGGGTTTAACTAAGCTCTCAAGCTGCCAGAGGGACTATCCTGCAATGGCCAGTCAGACCTTTACTGCCAAAGAAACCCTTTCATATTGAGTTCCACTTAGTACGATTGATTCAGATCTCTGCCTGTAGATGAACATATGTCTCAGTGCTCCCCCAGCCCAAGGGCTTTCTAATCACATTCAAATATCCTAGTGATTTGCTTTCATCATTGTAAGCAATTTAATTATGCATATGAAGTTTACTTACAAATGAGCAAAAAGTCACTTTATTTTCTTTAGTGTATTATGTGGAGGACTGGTTCAACAGGATGGCTCCAAAACTTGTGTTTCTAATGTTAAGTGAGGGGCTGGCAAGAATTTTAATGATACAGTAAAGAAAAATATCTCTGTAATTAATTTATTATGTTGATGTATGGGCTGTAAGTTCACCCTTTAGTGGTCGTTTGTCATTTCATAACAACTATGCATTTGGTTCACTGTGATGATGATCTCTATTTAGTGACTGCAACATGTTTATACCACTGATTCAAATTCCATCCATGATGAAGTTATACAAATAATGCATATATTGATATCTTTTATTGCAAAATGTAAATTTAAAACTTGTATATGTCCTTGTGCTTTTTGAAATAAAATATCTTATATGTGTATATTTAAAAAGAAAAAGGGGACTTCTCATGTTTGTGGATTTGGGTTTGAAGTATAAAAATCTATACCTAAAAAGGAGCGCTAATTAAAGGTGATCCTTTTCAATCTCCAGGCAAATTCTTGAAAAGATAAAAGTATTTAGTGTAATGGTGTCCAAACTTGTTGTCCATACAACCCATCAGTAAATAATTTTTAAACATACTTCCACCATATGTGTATGTGTCCCTTCGGTATGCATCCCCGTGTGGGAATAACTATCTAGAGCATCACTGTCCAGAAAAACACTGAAATGATGGAATGTTCAGTATTGTAGTCACTAATCCCATGTGCTATTGAACATTTGAAATGTTGCTCATTCAACAAAGGAACTGAAATTTTTATTAAAATTTTTAAGTTTTTTAAAGTCATATGGCTACCATGTTGGACAACTTAGATCTAGTGTAATGTTTCTCACAATTATACGATAGATTAATCTACAGCATGTTAGCAATACACATTTCCAATTATGATCCTACATCCTAAACTCAGAATCTCTTGGGATTGAACCTTGTGGTACTCAATGTAATTATTTCTATTTCTAAGACATGATTCTTCACTTGAATTTTTAGAACTTTCCTTTTTGCCTCAATGACCATCACACTAAGTGCCAAATAGTTTCTAGGAGAAAAGTAGATCAGAGAAAAGAAACTTGAATAGTTGTGACTTTTCATTTTCAGTTTCTATGTAACTTTTCATTTGAGAAAATGTACCTAGAATTAAATACATAAATATATATATAAACATTGCTATATATATGGCTTTAGTTTTATGATGTTAAAATATTCTAGCAGGTATAAAACAAGACAATGGAGAGAGGTATGGAAATGAAAATACAAAGCACTTGTAATTAACAGGAACTCTTCTCCATGGTTATACCAGAGTAGCCAGTCACTACTAGGAAAACATGCAAATTATTCATAATTTGGCTGCATTAAAATTTAAAACTTTATACAATAATAGACATCATTGAAGTTAAAAGATACCCAGATTTAGATGGTATGTTCACATCAACTGCATAATTTGAGATCAAGCTTTAAGAGAACTTATAGCTGCTACCACATTGTTTCTTTCAAGGTTGTGTAGTTTTTCACCTACCCTGAAAGTATATGAGGACTTTGGTTAGCTTTGCTGATAATTTCCAGTCCTGAGTGTCCAGGTTATTCCTGAAAACCATATACACTAACCAGGATAACAAGAAAAGCTAAAAGTAACAGCCGATGAAAATGGGTTAAATAGAATCTCCCATAAACTCCAAAAAATGGGCAGATAGACCCAAAACACAAGTGCAATGAAATAAGAATTGCAGAATGAAAAATTGCCAACAACCCTAAATAAAAGAAATCACAGAAAAACCTTGACGTCAGGACTGGAAATTTTCATCAGCAAAGCTAACAGAAGCCCTCATATGCTTTAAATTGAGGGTGGATGAAAAACTACACAACCTTGAAAGAAACAATGTGGTAGCACTTGTGAGTCCTCTCCATTCTCATAATCATTAAATACTATCTTTAAAACACAGATCAATAAAACAGAATAGAGAGAGAACCCAGAAATAAACCCATATATATGTTCCACTTATGACAAAGGAGCCAAGAATATACAGTGGGGAAAGAACAGTTTCTTCAATAAATGGTGTTGGAAGTATTAGCCACATACAAAAGAATGAAGCTGGAGACCACTATCATACACCATTCACAGAGTTAATTCAAAGAATTAATTGAAAGTGGATTAAATACCAGGAGCCTCCCTGGTGACACAGAGGGTTAGGATGCAGTGCTATGAAGCTACCTGTAGCCACTGCAGCACAAGTTCAATCCCCAGCCAGGGAGTTAAACCGCATGATGTAGCAGACCTCTCCTGCCTTACCTGCTGCTCCCCTCAGCAGTGTATTTCGGTAGACCCACTTGTTCTGCTCCCCACTCTGTCTCTAGTGAATCCTCTCACCTTTCCATACCATATAAATAAAAACTAAAATCTTAACATTTGTGATAATATATGACCTGAAGGACATTATGACAGAGAAAGACAAATACTGTATGATTTCATATATATGTTCAATCTTAGAAAAAAGAAAATTGAGGGTTCTCTCTGGTGGCAATTGGGTTAAAGCATAGCACTGTGAAGCTTGCTACAGCTCCATCAGCATAAACTCCATCCCAGCTAGGGAGCTGACCCACATGGCATAGCAGACTTCTCCAGTCTTGCCACTGCTCACCTCAGCAGTGTACTTCATCAATCCTCCTGTTCTGCCCCACTCTGTCTCTGCTGAAGCATCTCACTGCCCCTGCACCTCTGGCCTGTACCCCAGTTCTGTATCCATACAATAAATCTTTTTTTAAAAGAAAATTGAAAATTCATAGATACAAAGAAAAGGTGGGTGGTTGCCAGAAGCAAGGGAGGTGGGTAAAGGGGATCAAAAGGTACAAAGTTTTGGGAAACTAAAAATATTTCAATCATAGAGACATAAAGTGCAGTATGGCTGCTATAATTAGTATACCATATTGTGTATTTGAAAATTGGCAAGACAGTTGATTTTTTAAGTTCTTATCTCCAAAAAAATATTGTAACTTTGTAGGATTATGGATTTATTGTGGTGATCATTTCACAAAGTATACAAATATCAAAGATTTCTGTTGCTAGCTATAAACAAAAGATTAAATCTTGCCATTTATGACAACATGGATGCAACTGGAGGGGATTAAGCTAAGTGAAATATGACTGAAATTAGAGGGAAAAAATTTAATACTGGATGATTTCATTCATGTGTCGAATAGAAAGAAACAAAACAGACCAAAAACCCTTGGACTCTGATTGCATAGCTAAGGTTGGGGAGTGGGAAGCCAAGGGCAAAGAAGGTCCACTTGACTGTGATGAAGTTATTGGTGTGTTGGTGCTGGGCATCATCTGGTAACTAATCAGGTATGATTCTGTACTTTCAAAGCATATGTGTAGTTTGCCTCAGTTTATTTTTTTTAAGATTTATGTAGGTATACAAGAACTGGGGTACAGGTCAGAGATGTGGGAAGTGAGAGGACTCACCAGAGACAGAGTGGGGAGCAGAACAGGCAGATCAATGAAGTATACTGCTGAGGGGCATAGTGGGCAGGTCAGGAGAGGTCTGCCGAGCCATGTGGGTCACCTCCGGGGCGGGGATTGAACTCATGCTGCAATGGCAGCGGAGAGCTTCATAGTGCTGCGCTTTAATCTGTTGTGCCAACAGGGAGAGACCCATTATCACCTCAACTTAAAAATAATTTTGAATACTTGGCATGAACAGAAGAGACAATCCTGCAGCTGTGAAGCTAAAAATATTTTCTTGGTCCATCCATCTATTCGATATGCACCTTCCCCTCCTAATGGACCAGAACACCCATCTCATTTAAAATAGAACAAAAAAGAAATATGACTGTCATGGTCAATTTTATGTGTCAACTTGACTGGTCTAAGGAATGCTCAGATAGCTGGTAAAACTTTATTTCCAGGTGTTTCTGGAAGATTAGAATTTGATTCGGTAGACTGAACAAAAACTATACTGTCATCAATGTGGGTGGGTATCACTGAATCCATTGGGGACCCAAAAGGAACAAAAATACAGAGGAAAGAATTCTCTCTTCTTGAGCTGAGATGTCCATCTTCTGCTCTCAAACTGGAGCTTGTGGCTCTCAGGCATTTAGACTGAATCATACCACCAACTCCAGCAGTTTTCCAGCTTTTGGTTTGCAGGTTGTGGGATTTCTAAGTCTCTATAACTGCATGAGCCAATTCCTATAATATGTGCAGTCACATCATTGATAGGTTCTTAACAGTGTTGATTAAAACAAGGTAACTGAAAAATCTTGCATATAGGTACCAGGCAAGCCAAGGGTTGCTTGTAATGTAACATTTTTTTTAAAGGTTTCTTTTTACTTATTTGTGCATTACAAGAACTAGGGTGTGGACCAGAGGTGTGGGTGGTGAGAGGATTCATTAGAGATAGAGAGGGGAGCAGAACAGGCCGATCTACTGAAATACACTGCTGAGGGGAGCAGTGGGCAGGTCAGAAAAGGTCTGTTGCACTATGCGGGTCAACTCCCTGGCCAGGGATCAAACTGGTATTGTAGTGCCTGGTGATAGCTTGACAGCACTGAGCCTTTAACCCCTGCACCACCAGGGAGGCCCTTTATAGTAGTTATTAGAGAGCAAAACTACAAGTTATAAAGGACAGACATACCAGTAAAGGAAATTTAACAAACACTCCCCAAACCTGATAGATAAAATGGTCAAAAATTATTCAGGATGTGGTAGACTTAAACAACACAGTGCGTAGCTGGTTCCTACAGTAAGCAGATACTGAAACAGATTTGGGAGTACAAAAGGGTTTGCTTCACAAATCCAGTCAAAACTAGTCAAAGTAGTACCACAAAGTGCCAGGTAGATGGACTGAATTCCACTCAGTTTCCTTCCTGCTTTTCTTATCTAACAGCAGCCTTATCTTCTCCTGCTGACCTATGTCCATTACTTCTGACAAGATGGTGACCCTGCTTCTTGCTTACTAGTCCCTTGTTACCTGCAATCCAAAAGGTCCAGTAGTGTATAGTCATATACATAGTGTACTGAAATACACTGCTGAGGGGAGCAGCAGGCGAGAAAGGATAGGCCTGCTGGGCCATGTGGGTCAGCTCCCTGGCCTGGGATCTAACTGCTGCTACAGTGGCTACCCAGAGCTTCATAGTGCTGAGACTTAACTCTTTGTGCCACTAGGGCCAACTAGAGAGTCCATGCTGACAGGTTCCTGCTTTGCCTGTCTTTCTATTTGTGAGCCACAAAGTGCAACATCTGTGATCTGTGTCTAGTGCCTCTTCAGTGATGGGTACTTTCTGGTGAGCATTAACATCTAACACCAAATCTTCACATTTTGTGCAACATAGTCATATATCCACCCACCCTAGCAATAAAAGGACATATAACAACTTGGATGAATCTCACAAGCGAAAGAAGTAGATACCAAGAAAACATATATGTGTGTATGTACATATATACATATGCATATACACCTATGTATATACATACATACATATATACATATATATGCATATATATGCATAGATACCAAGAAAATATATATATATATATATATGTCTTTCGCTTGTGAGATCCAAGTTGTTATGTCTTTTTATTGCTAGGTAGTTCAGTTATACAAATACAGAATTTGTACCTTCTGTTGCTAGGCATCTGAGTTGTTTCTAATTTTCAGCTATTATGAATGAAAGTTGTGAACATTTTTGACACAAGTATTTTATTTTAGTTGTAGACATATGCCTTTCTTTTAGAGATTATATGT